AATATAAAATTTCAGCTAAAAAAAATTAGTCCAACTAGAGTTACAGCGCTCTAAACACCCCCCCTCAAAACAAAGAGCTCCCACTGTCTCCACGATTCCGGCTGATCGGCTTATCTGACCAAAAAAAAATAAACGGCGTTTTAATTTGTAGGCTTAAAAGCACGGAATGAACTACAATCAAATGAATAGAAAAAAAATTGGATGTTTTATAGACATTTGAAATAAAAGTTGCAAATTAGGCGGGTTTTTTTTTTTGTTTTTTTGCTATAAAAAATCGAAGTTTTGAAATTTTTGATTGATAATAGTTCATTCCATGCGTTTAAATATATTGAATGTGCCCTGTAAATTTCAAGTAATTCGGTCCAGCCGTTTCTGAGATACAATGGAGACAAGTATGAAAAACACAGTTTTGAGAAAAACGCGTTTAAAGATAAAATGATCGTTGTACTATATACTATATGTATACTTTTTAAATGGCTGTAACTCAAAAACTATTTGAGATATCGCTTTGAAATTTTAATGTTATTTTTAAAGGTATAATCTACCGAAATATGAAATAAAAAAAAATTCAATTTTTTCAACTCATCACATAGGAAGACCCCCTTTAGGAAAATTGCTGAAACATTCTTGTACCTCTTTTCGTTCTTTCTTTCTACTTTTCGAAAATACCAATGGATGGATGTAAACCGAAACCTTTCTAATTAACTTCCCGTAGGGCAAGTTATAGTAATCGCAAAAAAATCGAAAATGAAAATTTTTATATATCTTTACGTTTCAAAGGTTTCTGAACATTTTGGCATACCTTAGAAAAAATGGATGTATGTGTGTGTGTGTGTGTGTGTGTATGTGTGTGTGTATGTGTGTGTGTGTATGTATGTGTGGATACAAATTTCCAGTCACGTTTTAGGGCGCGCACGGATCAACCGATTTGAATAATTCAAAAAACATTCGATCCGTACTGATAAGGAGACGTGCTGATTAGTTTTTGGCAAAGGCAGGTCAAGCCGTTCCGAAGATACGGGGCAAAAAGTTCCGAAAACGGTAACTCAGTTTTTAAGAGAACGGAGCGTCCGATTTTAATAATTCAAAAAACATTTTATTTGTATTGACAAGATGAAGAATCGATACAACTTTCATGAAGGTAGGTCCAGCGGTTTCGGAGATATAGAGGAAAAAGTAAAAAAATGAGCCATTTGGCGGTCAAAAATGATCATTAGACATATGCACATCAAATTATCAGATATTTTATAGAGATTTTAACAATAAGTATACATTTTGTTAACATTCCTATCGGTTCCGTACCAATGCTTATGCGATAGACAGCGACGCGGCGCTTACGCGCTTTATATTTTGTCCCTATGTAGTTAAAGCAGTACGATTGCTTTGAAAAAAAAGTTCAGATCTTCCACAATATGTCAAAATAAAGAAAAAAAAATTTTTTTCAAAAAAAAAAAATCTTATCTTATTTTTTAAAAGTAATTTTTTTTCAAAAATGTTAATCGTTTTGAAAAAAAATAATAATTGTTGGTACGGGAAGTTCCAGCAATTTGCCTTAAGGCACGATGCCCTAATTGCCTTAAGACAGAATTCCACTTACAGCTAGTTTCTATTTTACCTCTGCCCTGCGCACTGGGCGCCTCGTCGGCATCCATCTTAACACGTTCGAACGTCCGACGCGGCGCCCTCCGTCGGTCAAGTCAGTCAAGTCAGTCGGTTGTCGAACGCCTCCGTCGGACGACGACACGAGCCAACCGAAACAAATATATTTTGGATACGAGTAATAATGAAAAATAAATTAATTAATTTTGTAATAAAAGAAATAAACAAGGTTGTTTTGTTGTCGTTATGTAATTTATTAAATGATACGTGTGCGATGATGATGGAATGTTTGATGGACAAGGTGGGAAAAATTCATTTAAAATAGTTGTTCATAAATTGTAGTGGTCTTGGGTGTTTATTCACTTTGTTTTTAATTTTTTTTGTGTATCAGTGTGTATGCTGTCAATTCACTATTTAGTTGAAATTATTATAAATTTGTAGTTACTGCGTGAAGATGAACTTCTTCAATCTTTACCAGCATCATATTTTATTTCATATTTTCGCAAGACTATTCAGTTGAAGTTATTACAAATTTGTTAAATTTTATACAATTTACTTCCAACCCAGTATCCTTCGGACTCATTCTTACACATTCTTACACGGTGAAGATGAAATTCTTCATTCTTCATTGACATCATATTTTAATTCACTATTCTCGGAAGGCTATTCATTTGAAGTTTTACCAATTTGGTAAATTCCATGCAATTTGCTTCCAACCCAGTTTCCTTTGGATAGATACTTCTCATTTTTACACGGTGAACTTTTTCATTCTTTACCAGCATCATATTTTATTTCACTATTTTCGGAAGTCTATTCAGTTGAAGTTATTGTCAATTTATCAAATTCTATGCAATTTGCTTTCAACCTAGTTTCCTTCGGACTGTAGTTTCTGGTTATGATGAAATTCTTCATTCTTCACTTCATCATATTTTAATTCAATATTCTTCGGCTATTCTTTTGAAGTTTTACAAATTTGTCAAATTCCATACAATTTACTTCCAACTCAATTTTCATCGGACAGTGGTTACTGCTGATCACCAGCATCATTTTTGGAAACTATAGGCATTTTTAATTTTTATTGGATTTTCTTAAAATTTATGAATTTACAAAACAAACCTAATTTCTTATCTTACATACACACATTCCTAGATTTTTTAACGAATTTATTTTCCCAACTTACTTAATTACTGCAATATATATATATATACATATATATATACATATATATATATATTGGATACGAGTATTAATGAAAAATATTTAATTTTATAATTGTTGGTTGCTTAGTTGTGATTATGTAATTTACTAAATGATACGTGTGCGATGATGATGGAATGTTTGATGGACAAGATGGGAAAAATTTATCATAAAATAGTTGTTCATAAATTGTAGTGGTTTTTAGGTGTTTAACCACTTTGTTTTTATTTTTTTTTGTGTACCAGTGTGTATGCTGTCAATTTACTATTCAGTTGAAATTATCATAAATTTGTAAAATTTTATACAATTTGCTTCCAACCCAGTTTACTTCGGACTGTGGTTACTGCGTGAAGATGAAATTCTTCATTTTTCACCAGCATCATATTTTCTCAAGACTATTCAGTTGAAGTTATTACAAATTTGTTAAATTTTATACAATTTACTTCCACCCCAGTTTCCTTCGGACTGTATTTACTGCGTAAAGATGAACGTCTTCAATCTTCACCAGCATCATATTTTATTTCATATTTTTGCAAGTTCAAGTTATTACAAATTTGACAAATTCAATATAAATTACTTCCAATCCAGTATCCTTTGGACTCATTTTTACACATTCTTACACGGTAAAGATGAAATTTTTTATTCTTCACTGGCATCATATTTCTATTCACTATTCTCGGAAGAAGGTTCATTTGAAATCCTACAAATTTGTCAAATTTCATACAATTTGCTTCCAACCCAGTTTCCTTCAAACTGTGGTCACTGCTTATTCTTACATGGTGAAGATCAACTTCTTCATTTTTCACCAGGACCATTTTTTAAAATTCTATTATATATGTCCTGAATTTTTAAATAAATTGATCTTTTCTCCGCACAATTAATTTAAAAAAAAATAATAAAAAACTGTTTTTTTTTGGTTTAATTACGACGTTTTGGAACTAAATTTAGTTCATCACCAGCTTTCTTCTGCAACTTTTATCTATGAAAGTAAATTCACTTAATACTTGAAAATTTGACTTCACTTCACCTTTGTTGTATATGTCTATTACATCGTAGTGCATAAGTTTATTGACTCAAATTGAAACCATAAAATATCGTTTATTTTTCTTTTTTTAACTTCTTGTAGGGTAAGTTATAGTAATGAGCCAAAAATCGAAAATGAAAATTTGTGCATATCTTCACGTTTCAGAGGTTTCTGAACATTTTGGCATACATCAGAAAAAATGGATGTGTGTGTGTGGAGACAATTTTTTTCGACGATTTCGGGCGCACGGATAAACTGATTTGAATGGTTCAAAAAACATTCGATTCCTATTGCTAGGGAGATGTGTTGATTAGTTTTTGTCAAAGGCAGTTTCGGAGAAACAGAGCTAAATGTGCAAAAAATGGCAGTTTTTGAGATTTCTGAGCGTCCGATTCAAAAAACTTCCTGTTTGTTTTAACAAAATAATTGCTTTTGGAAAAAAACATTTTTTGTTTAAATTTTTTTTCAAAAAATATTTTTTTTTGAATATCGAAAATAATTCAGATTTCAATTGTAATTCTGACTGAAGTTCTAATATACTTTAAACAAATAATTTCACCTTTGCAATTCAGTTTATATAATTCTTATAAATATTAGACAATTTTATAATATTTATTTATAATAATCTATTTGAAAACATTCAGTATTCCTCGAACATTTCGTTACGGTACGGGAAGTTCCAGCAATTTGCCTTAGGGCACGATGCCATACACCACTAGTTTAAATTTAAAATTAGTCACTGGGGCAAATGATGTGCAAAGCTCTCATGCAGGTATAAAAATATATTTTTGATTGAAAATTGTTCAATATAACAATTTATAATAAAACACATTTTATCCACTAACGCTCTTAAAGATTAATAACTAGTTTAAGTGATTTGTGACCTTTGAGGTGAAGCCAAAAACTTTTCACAATATCTCGATTAGTTCTTCTAGTTTTATTCTGTTTATTTTCCGCAATAATCTTTGATAATTTTTAATAAGATACAAAATTTCTTATGTATTCAAAAATCCTTTAATTCTTTCCTCCGTGGGTGTGATGATTATTCCATTACATCATGCAAAGTTTCCTTCTCTGTCGATACAATGTTCCGTTTTCATTATTAATAAAACAGAAGGAGAACGATCAAAAGATTGTTAGTTAGTCATCTCGTTAGCTGCACAAAGTTTTGCATCTGCAGCTGCAGCAGCAATAGAATAGAAGCTGCAGCAGCAGCGATAGAAGCTCTAGAAGTCTGCGTCTACTTTGTCGAGAAAGTCGAAAGCAACTTTAAGGCTAAACTTGGCAAAGTTCAACGCAAGTGGGCGTTTTGTAAAGGAAATACTAATTATCGAAATGAATAATAATATTATATCAAATGCTAACATTTCAACTTTATTAAATGAGGCTAATGTTGCAAACGTTTCGAGATTTTAGTTTATATTTGTACCAGTGCTTACCCGTAGGTAGAAAATGAAAATTTTTGCATTTCTTCACGTTTCAGAGGTTTCTGAACGTTTTGGCATACCTCAGAAATAATGGATGTGTGTGTAATACTAAAATAAAAATTGTATCCATACATACATACATACACAGTATTTCAGAGGTTCTGAAACACTGTGTATGTAGATATACATATACAATTTTTTGTTCAAGTTTTTGGAAGTTCTGCTCAACCGATTTGAATGGTTAAAAATTATTCGATTTCTATTGATAGGGTGATGTGCTGATAGTTTTTGGCAAAGGCAGGTCCAGCCGTTTTGAAGATACGAGGCAAAGAGTGCAGAAAATAGAAATCGTTTTTGAGAGAACGGAGCATCCGATTTCAATGATTAAAAAAATATTGAATTTGTATTATCGGGAAAGTGGTAATTAGTTTTTGAGAAAAGCAGGTCCAGCCGTTTTGGAGATACAGAGCTAAATGTGCAAAAAATAGCAGTTTTTGAGAGAACTAAGCATCTGGTTTGAATGATTCTAAAAACTTTTAACAAAATAATTGCTTTTGGATAAAAAATTTTTGTTTCAATTTTTTTTTGAATATTGAAAATAATTCAAATTTTAATTTTAATTCTGGCTAAATCTAAATATCACTTATATACATATATAAATAATTTTAACTTTGCAATTCAGTTTATATAATTCTTATAAATATTAGACAATGTTACAAATTTATAATAATCTATTTGAAAACATTTAATATTTCTCGAACATTTTGTTAAGGTACGGGAAGTTCCAGCAATTTGCTTTAAAGCACAATTCCATACAAACCTAGTTTAAATTTTGGTCAGTACATATATTGAAAACATTTTCTTGAAATATTTTTTTACCCTATTTAACTATTTATTATGTACTTTTTGACACTGTATGTGTGTCATCATTTAATCTTATATAATTGTAAAATTTAATTAAAGTTCAGAATTAAGGGTTGGTTCAAAAATAAAATAAAATGCTACAAGATTTAAGAAGACTGCTGAACGTAATATGTAAGAAAAGACAATTTTATAAATTTGTTTCAAATTTAAATTTAAGAGACTATTTAAGCAGAACACGATAAAAGTTTTCTTTTGTTATAGAAATTCAAATAAAAATATCTCTGAGAAATTAGACACATGGAATGTCCCATAAGCGCGTGTTCGTTTTTTGCCAAATAATTATAACATTTAAACTATTTGTCTAAAATAATCAGTATGGTTAGCAAATTTGTACAAAATTGAATAATCTGCAAAATTTTCTAACATTATAATGCTTACAAATCACTCACAAATTAATATATTGATTTCTTGTCTTTTTTATATTCACACATATGGGGAAGTTTACATAACTTGCCTTAAGGCAAAGTATAACTTACATCTGGTATTATACATATTAATTGTTTAATAATTATTTTTTCAGATTTATATGTATCATCTTCAACATGAACATGAACAAAACCAGCATTGTTTTTTCCTTTACCAAAGTGTTTCGTGAATGTTTCAAATGTGGTGTCTAGTGATTCTATTCCATGACTAAATATTCCATCTATTGATTATATATCGATTATTCTGATGACTAATTGGCATAACTAAGTTATTCGAATAACTTTCGAGTGATCTGATCGGTGATGTTTCGGTGAATTCGGTGACGATGCGTTGAAATTGTTTGAAATTCGCGCGTTTTTTTCGCGTGTCGAAGGAAATGGATGATTCTGGGTCCAAGAAGGCGTCCCAGTCCTCGTTGACCATCGACAGGGCCGCATTTTTGCTTCTGAGGGTCAAGAAGGCCTTCAAGAAGAAAAGGCAGCAGAGGAAGGAGAGAAAGTGAGTGGAAATATATTTTTTATTAAATTTATTTATATATACTAATATATATATATATATATAATATATCGTGATCTTATTTTTTTTAACTAACTATATATATATATAATAGGTTGTCAAATATCTCCCTTCCGCCTTTTTGTATTATAAACCAAGAGCAAAAAAGCGGAAGGGAGATATTTGACAACTATGTATATTATAGAAAATTAGATAATTATATCATTTTTTTTTGTTGGTTTTATTTTGCTCGTCAGTAGAGTTCTTTATTTTTCTCTGAAATTACACTTTACTAATATTTTTGAATTTGCTCGTCAGTTGAGTTCTTTCTTTTCTTTTGAATAACGTTTTATTAATGATTATCAAATTTACCTGTTAGTAGAATTCTTTGTTTTCTCTTAAATTACATTTTCCAAATTATTTCCAATTTTGCTAGTACAGTAGAGTTGTTTCTCTTGTATTAAATGACATTTTCCGAATAGTTTTTTAAAAGTGCTTGTCAGTCGAGTTCTTTCTCTTGTCTTAAATGATATTTTATTAATAATTTCCAAATTTGCTCGTCAGTAAAATTCTTCATTTTCTCATAAATTACATTTTTCAAAAAAATTTCAAACTTTTTGCCTGTCAGTAGAGTTTTTTCATTTCGCTTCTTCATTTTCGTAAAATTCTTCATTTTCTCATAAATCACATTTTTCAAAAAAATCTCAAACTTTTTGCCTGTCAGTAGAGTTTTTTCATTTCGCTAAAATGAAATTTTACTAATAATTTCCTAATTTCTCTGTCTCCGAGTAAAGTTCTCTCTTTTCTCTTAAATTTATTAAAAATTTCTTTTTTTTTAATTAGAAATTCTTTGTTTTCTCTTGAATTACATTTTACAAATAATTTCTGATTTTGCCTGTCAGTAGAATTCCTTTTTTACTATTAATTTACATTTTCCAAAAAATAATTAAATTTGCCTGTCAGTTGAGTTTTTTCTTTATTCAAAAATTACATTTTCTAAATAATTTCCAAATTTACTTACCTGTCAGTAAAGTTCTTTCATTATTCTAAAATTACATTTTCCAAATAATTTCCAAATTTCCTTGTCAGTAACTTGTTAGAGTTCTTTCTTTTCTTTGAAACGACATTTTATTAATAATTTCTAAGGTTGCTTTTCTTTTTTCGCAAATGACTTTTTACTAATAATTTCCAAATTTGTCTATTAATAGAGATGTTTTTTTTCTCAGAATGACGTGTGAAAGTATCACCTATTTTTTACTAATAAATAAAAAAAAGATGAATAATTCAGGCTTTTAGTTCATAAAAATAAAATCACAAAAAACATGTATCTACATTTGTCTGGTTGATGAAGTCTGAATATTTTAATCTTTGTTTAAAATAGACAATACCTATTAAAAAAGCAAAGAGTTTTCAGAAATTAAGTATTTATTTACGACTTTCCAAAATTATTAAAAATAAAATAGTTATAATACTCAAACACGATTTCCCAGCGTTCCGGTAGGCTAAATTAACACTTAACCTGGAACGAGGCCTCGATCCAGGTTGCGCGCACATCGGCTCTACCGGTTTATCATGGGACAGGCTTTTCATAAAGATTTTTTAAATACATTGTAGATAATCGTATATATATATATATATATATATATATATATATATAATGAAATGTATGTATTCGTACTATAAAAAGCACATATCTTTTTTTTATTATACGCGTAAACTAGGAGATATGAAAAGTCGTGAAAGTACTTTCGATTTATATATGTATATATATATATATATACACATAGATATATTTCTATCTGTGTATATTTTAGTTGAGAAGTTTAGTTCTAGTCCATAAAACAATATAAAGTTCTAGTTCCAACAACAAAACCGCACCGCACCGCCTGACGTCATGCTTTTTATTCGAATATAAAGTTCAACGGGAATAAAACGCTTTAGAAACTATTTTAACGTTTACACCTTTAATAAAAAAGTTAAAAATATACACTATACGATAATATAGACACGTGATAAAAAAATTGACTCGAAATAGACGTCTTTTGTTAGAAAAAATGGAAACGAATGAAATAAAATTCATCTGATTATTATAGCTAGATTTTTTTGATACTTTATTTATAAAATAATTTCAAAATCTGGTTTAATGAAAAATAAACATGTGCTTTTTATAGTACGAATATATATATTTCATGTATATTTATATTTGTTATTTCATGTGTAATTATTACTATTATACAAGGGTAGATTGCAAGTATTATAAGTAAAATAAAATTAGAATATATGTCGCCGTTGAATAATTCTAAAAATTGTTTTTTATAAGCCCGAGCATTTAAAAAGTCAATTCCAGCAGCATGGATTACATTTATCTCGAAACTAGAATGATAATCCCATCTGCGAGTTATTATATCCATTCCATCCATTTCTCGAGGGATGTAACTCTATTCTCTACTCTACTCTACTTTTGTCTACTACTCTCTTGTTCGATATGACTTTTATAAATAACTCCATTGTGGAGTAGGAGTTGGAAATTTATATAACTTTTATGCATTTCGTGTCATGTCCTGTTTTTGTCTTATCTCTATCACAGTACACTGACTATGAGTCAATGTCAGAGGTGAAAATGAAAATTATATTGAGGAAAAGACACACCAACACACTCACATGTTTATTAAAATCATTTTGATGTTAAAATATGCCAATTAAAATCTTGAGGGAATATACAATAAAATTTGTAGATAGTAAAGTCTCAGTAGTAACTATTTTATATTTTGTATCCTCGTTTTCCCAGCGTTCCGGTAGGCTAAATTAACATTTAACCCGGAACTAGGCCTCGATCCAGGTTGCGCGCACATTGGCGTACAGGCACTATTTCATATTTTTTTGGATTTAAAAATATTCCAAATTTATGGATTAAATTCTGAGTGATTTGATGAATTAAGGGTCGGATGGATGAGTTTGTTCGTTGAATGTTGAATGATTGAAATGAGGAAATTGCACAAACCGCAGAATCAAATTACAGAGCAAAGCAGACAGAGGACGTCATCTGGCTATTCATTTCCGCAACTATAATC